ATCTCATGGTGTGTCTCTCCTTCCCCTCCTTTGAGGCTAACGATTAAGTCGATGGGTTTAACGTCGTGGGATTAAAGATTCGATTTTTTTACCGTTCCTGGTCAGAATGTTTACCCTTGGGAAATACGTTTTGCTTTGCATTCCTCGTCTCTCCCACAATCACATTAATTTTTCATTCTCTATGCAAACGTATACAGATAAAAGATAGTCTTTAAATCTGTTCTCTCACACGTTCTCTGTTGAGCCTGATTTCCTTTTCTCTCTCTTCCATAGAGCCATACACGCGAGCACGGTATTTTTATGTAAACCCCCCTCCCCCCAAACACACACACACACACACACACACACACACACACACACACACACACACACACACACACACTGAGACACATACTCATAAATCATGAATAGCCCCCCAAAAAGATCTGTTCCCGGAACACAAACTGTCTTGTTATGTATGTGTTCCTTGTCAGATTACGGGTCTATATATTAAGTATTTGAAAGGATTGGTGTATGTTGAATAAGCCACTGTGCATGAAAACGTTAATTTAAATCTTATTTTATTGTGAAGAGCTTAGAACCACGATGGAGTGGGCTCTAAAGACGTAATCTTTGTTGTTTTTTATTAAAGCAGACTTAAGGTGTTCTTTCATTCAAGATGCATTGGCTTTGGGTACTGTTTTCTACGTCCTTCTTCGCTATTATTTTACATTTTATCGTTGGACCAGTCTATGCTACTCCATGGAAACCACATTTCTTTCAAACTAAGACGAGCGTTGAACTTAAACAAAGACAAAATGAAACCTTCATTCCTTTTTAAGTTGACACTATCCTTATACCTTCTCGACTCACTCTGATCACACCACAGCCACCCTCCACGTTAACTCTCACCTTTGTCCTTACCTCCCTTTTATGATTATCCTCACCTGGAAAACGGGTTACGTCCGAATACGACCTTGACCGCCTTTTGAAGGAAGGTTACGGCCTTGTCCGAGTTACCCAAAGAGGCCAGATTTTGACAACGATCCCTTCCTGCTTTCTGGATCGGGATGTCGTATGGTGACGTCATCGGCCCAGGCTGGTCTAGGGTGATGACATATCTGAGGGATGAGACCAACAACTGTCACTGCCACTTGTTGTTATTGTTTTGGTGACGTATTATCCCTATATGTAAACACACACACACACACACACACACACACACACACACACACACACACACACACACACACACACACACACACACACACCACACACGTATACACGCACACCCAAAGCCTCCTTCGAACCCCCCCTCCCTACACACACACACTCACACACAAAAACTTACACAGGTTTTGGGGGCTTTTGTTTTTGTCAGTAGAAATAGTTTGTTGTTGTCTGAGCAAACGAGTAAAACAGGTTTATTCCCTTATTTGTTTGGATTTTTTTTAAATGACGATTCAATGGTTAAAATGTTTGGCATTAACTTAAATGTGTTTGAATTACCTTTTAGATGCAATTGGTTTCATTTAGATCAGCCAGACCAAAATGAACACTATTAATTATACATAGTTATCTACAAGTGATGTTTTTAGGGAGGGGGGGCACATTGTATATTCAAAGAGACCTTAGTACAACACTTTGATTTAGGGCAATGAACTTCTAGGTTTCATTTTCTACCATAAAACATGATCTGTATTGTCAAATTGATAAATGTGGAAAAATAATGTTTTCGCGATTGCTTCGCCACTCTAAGATAAACTCTTTTTGAGCAGCTCAAACACGTTTATTTATATTTCTGTATACGCAGTTCTCATCATTCTATCCTTATTTCAGAGGCAGTACTGTGACCAAAAAAAAGAAGAAAAAGAGTAGTGCGTATGAATTAATCAGTAGCAATGGTCAGTGCCCCATTGTCTCTATGTCTCTGGTTCATTTCAGTAATGACTTGAGAATGAATAAACAACAGTAGAAGCATTATTGCCACCCTCTCACGGGAATAGTTATTTTCGATGGATCCCAGAAATGTCAGTGCTACATCTCATACATCATGAGCTGAGGACATTATTGCTATTACTGCTATAACATACAATACGGAATCTAAAATGTATGCATAGATACGCTAAAAAGGGCTTGCTTGCTATATATCTAGCCCCCCTGTGCTTAAAAGCGACCATAGTATGCATAAAATTTCCCGGGAACTGAAACTAGAAGAGAGTAACACACGTCAGCACGTCCACAAAAGTCTGCAAAACGGACACACAAGTGCTTGCTGAGTCAGGAGAGGCCTAATGAAACTGGAATGATTTTTTCGATGTATTAAATACTGTACTGTAATGAATTATGGTTTCAGAACACACTGACAGTGACAATACGTATGTTGCGTCCCGATAGAATCAGACACCCGTCAATTTGGGGGCATTCGGACTAATTGGTATAATCTAATAGCTTGTTTATTTAATGCAAACAAATACCCATCTATCTTGAAAAAAGAAAATCGAGGTATTTGCAATTGAAGGATATGAAGGTTGAGAGGTGTCAGGAGTAAAATTAGCAAGAAAATTGCTTTTAAAATGTGGTGACTTCCAAAGCCTTGGAAGCTGTTACATTTTTGCGCCTTTGATCAACGTTTGTCAATAAAATCAAAATTGAAAAGTGTTAAAAGTGAACAAAAAGGCGCAAAGCTAAAAAAAACACAACGTCTGTTCAATTTTCCCAAACTTCTTTAAAATGTCGTTTTCTTCAATTCCATCATTCTGACGAGCGTCTGGCTTCACCATGACGCCACACATATGAATCTGATCTCAGTGAAATTCAGTTCCAGTTATCAGGTTACCACAATTCATCAGATTTTTATCGGGGTAGAAGGCAACTGAAACACACATTCACAATATTGATTGTCATTATTTGGCCACTGTATAAGTTTTTTTTATGAAGGTGTTTTACGCTCCAATCCCCTCACTGGTGTCTAACTCAGGGGTTGTGCATTGGACAGCGAAGCGCCCAGCGTTACGTCATATAAGATAATGCTGTATTGATTTAACGCCCCTTTCAGCACTGTAAGGTTGTTTACAATGCAAGGCCACCGAATTTAATATCCATCTTTAATAGGACACAATGGGCGAAGAGCCTGAGAAACTCTGCAAAACAACCCATGTTCAAAACGCCCCACTAAGCATCGAACCAGGGCCATCCGCTCCGTTGTCCAGCATGATAACGACTATGCGCCCCAATATTGATTACAGAATTCCGCTTCTTTCATACGGTGTCGTGTTACGAGTAGTCTGTGAATGGGGCCATTAGTGGTGATTCAAATTTCGAATAAAAGTTTTGTTATAGCGTAAACGTGTTCGCAATTAACACAAGGGGAATGAATAACAATGATTTAGTGACGCCATTAATCACAACTTGCCTGAGTGGTGTTATTCGTCATGACACGGGTTTACGTTTTAGTTTTAGAAAGAGTTTTTCGGCTCTAACAATGCAAATTGGCAATATAAATGCCGAAGATTGGAGGGTAACATACAACAAAAGGAGAGAGGAGATCAAGTGCGGACGATTGATTTTTGACGATAGGAAAGAAGGACGAAACTATGCCAGAGCAACCACCAACAATCCACTGACACGATATTATCGATCAACAAAATATAAGTAGTGTAAGAGCAAGACAATTTCAAGACAAAAACGCAATGATGAGGAAACAGAAGATTAATAAATGATATTCCTCGACGTTTCATCATCATCAATGCCTTTCACCCCTGGCAGGGTATAGGCCACATACAAGCTCCTTCCATTTATCTCTGTCCTGAGCCATCCTTCCAAGCTCGTCATTTCTCTCATGTCCCTTTCCACGCATTTCCTCCATGTTTCCGGCGGCCTACCCCTGCCTCGTGTTCCTTGTGGGTTTCACTGCAGTGACTGTCTTGTGATGTTTCCGCTGGGCTTTCTTTAGGTGTGTCCCATCCATCGCCACTTTCTTAGTCCTATTTCTACTTCTATATCCTTTTGTCCTGTCCTTTCCCACAGCTCTTCATTTCTTATTCTATCCTGCCACTTAATTCTTAGAATACTCCTCATACAGCTGTTGATGAAAGTCTGAACTTCATTCAGTACTGTTTTCGTTGTCTTCCAAGTTTCGCAGCCGTAGAGGAGCACGCACTTGACGTTGGCGTTAAAGAGTCGAATCTTGGTGCGCAGTGAGATGTTGCTTGCTTTCCAGACTTTTGATAATTGCTTGAAGGCTGACCTTGCCTTGGCGGTTCTCGCTTTAACGTCTGCCTCGGTTCCACCTTTACCATCGATGACACTTCCAAGGTAGGTAAAGGAGTCTACTTCTTCCAGGGGAGTGTCTTCCACTGACACAGCAGGGCTTGAAACTTTTCCTAGCTTCACTACTTTTGACTTGCCTGGATGTATACGTAGGCCAACACTCCTTGATAGGCTGTTGAGTTCCTCGGTCTTTTCTTGCATCTGAGCATGTGTGTGAGAGAGCAGCGCAAGGTCATCGGCGAAGTCTAAGTCGTCCAGCTGCTGCCAAGGGGTCCATTGTATTCCTTTACGTTTGCCTCTGGTGGCTTCTTTCATGACCCAGTCAATTGCCAGTATGAAAAGGAAAGGTGAGAGAGCAAGCATCCTTGTCGCACTCCTGTCTGTACCTGGAATGGTTCTGAGAGTTGTCCTTCGTGGAAGACTTCGCAGTTTGTTCCATCATAGGTGGCCTTCTTAGGTATTCCAAAATGCCGCATGAGTTTCCACAGAGTTTCCCTGTCCACGCTGTCAAACGCCTTTTCATAGTCAATGAGGTTGACCACGAGTGGTGAGTTCCATCCAAGCGATTGCTCAACAATGATATGCAGAGTAGCGATCTGGTCCACACATGATCGGTTTTTGCGGAATCCTGCCTGGTTTCCTCGAAGCTTCTCATCTGTTGCCAGCTTGATTCTCTCTAGGAGTATCTTGTTGAAGACTTTCCCAGGTATGGACCGGAGTGTAATGCCTCTGTAGTTGTTACAATTGCTGAGATCTCCTTTCTTTGGCAGCTTGATTAGGTGGCCAGTCTTATGGTATTTCCTCCTTTTGCCAAACCTTTTCAAACAGAGCATAGAGAATTTCCACAAACCTATCTTTCTCTGCCTTAAGGGCTTCCGGTGGTATTTGGTCGGGACCCGCTGCCTTGTGGGATTTCAGTGTTTTTATAGCGGGCTGCAATTTCCTCTCTTGAAAGTGGTTCCGTGACTATTGGGAGGTCATTTCTGGCTGGAAGAATTTCTGGTTGGTTTTCTGGAGGTGGTCTGTTCAATAGTTGATCAAAGTGTTCTCTCCATCGGTTAAGTTGCCCCTCTGGGTTGAAGATAGTCTTTCCCTCTTTGTTTTTCACTGGTCGAGTGGGCTTGCTGAACCTACCTGAAAGAGTTCTTGTAGTCTGGTGTACAATCCGTAAGTGCCCGTCTGTTGCTGCTTTCTCAGCCTTTTCGGCCAGGCCATTCAGGCAGGTTTTCTTGTACTTCTTGATGGAATTCTTTACCTCCCGGTTTACTTCGGCGTACTCTTGTTGTGCAGCGAGTTTCTCAGTTCGGGTACGGCTTTTGTTGACTTGAGCCTTCAGCTCTCTTCTTCTTTTGACTTTGTCTAGAGAGTCCTGTGAAATCCATTCATTCCCGGTGTTGTCTTTGTGTCCTAGGGTGCTCTGGCAAGTTGCATTTACTGCCTCTCTTATCTTATCCCAGTGTTCGTTGACTTCACATTCATCCAGATCTTGAAGGACTTGAAATCTGTTCTTCAGTTCAAACTTGAACTCATTCTTCTTTATTGGGTCTTTCAGAAGGCTCACTTCATACTGTAGACATTTCCAGCTTTGACTTGTGCATATCTTCTCAGTTTTAGTTTCATCTTTCCAAGGATCAAATGTTGGTCTGATGTGACGTCTGCTCTTCGTAAGACTCGGACGTCCTCCAGTGAGCGTCTAAACTTTCGAGAGATGCAAAAGTGGTCAATCTGGTTTTCCGTTGTTCCGTCCGGGGAGACCCAAGTGGCCTTGTGAATCCTTTTATGTGGGAAGATTGTACCTCCAATGACCACGTTGTTGAATGTACAGAAGTTTTGTAACCTTTCTCCGTTGTCATTTGCCTCTCCTAATCCGTGTCTGCCCATGATTTCCTCGTTGTGACTATTGTCCGAACCTACCTTTGCATTTAGATCCCCCATGACAATGTTGATGTCCTTACCTGGAAGTTTGTCCATAACTTTCTGCAGGCGGTTGTAGAAGTCATCTTTATTCTCCACTTCTGCATCATTGGTTGGAGCATACACTTGTATGATGTTCATGTTAATGACCTTCTTCCTACCATCTCTTACCTTGAGTTCTTTCTTAGTTCCAAATGAGGCCATGATGATCCTGGACCATGTCATGTGCTTCCCAGCCCCTGCATGTCTTTTGAGCTGTTTTTGATATGATCATCACTACTCCTTCCCTGTGTGGTCCATCACTGTAATTTTCTGAATAAATAAAAACCTCCCCCTCTTTCATTCGCTTCTGTCCAGACTGGTTCAAGTGGGTCTCGCTGATTCCCAGTATGTGTAGTTGGTATCAGTGCATTTCTTGGAGAACTTGTGCAGTTTTTCCAGATTCATAAAGGGTCCTAACGTTCCACGAGCTGACCCGAAGAGACTTGGACTTAGATGATGGTGGAGGCTTCTGCCGAGCATCTTCCTTTCGGCTTTCACTGCCTTGCATCATAAACTCTCCATTTGGAGAAGATCCACGATCAGCCAAGCAGAGATAATGGTTTTTGCTTGTATGTGTTTCTGTAACAGGTTCTTTTTACGAGAGAGGTTGTTAGCCTCATGACTCAACTCCCGACCTGGAGGAAGGATGACTCTGTTTCAGGAGTCACTACCTGGTTCGCCATTTTGTCGCCTCGTACGACACGCTAGCACCACGTCAGTCCTATTCTTCTCAATGCCGAGACTGCACGGCTACCTCGACGTTTGGAGAGCTTTATACCTTTTTTTTCAACAAGTTGAAACTAAACAAAGAAAAGACAGACATCATTCTTATTAAAAAATCCACGATTAAATAAAGATCTGGAAAGTGTGAGCTTTGATTTATATCGCCATATGACATCTAGTAAAGAAGTTGTCAGGAATCTCGGTGTATATATTGACCACCACTTATCAATGGGCTCGTTTGTAGGATCTCTGTCCAAATCCTTTTATTTTCAGCAGAGAAGGATAGGCCTAGTTCGAAAGTACTTAAACGAAGAGACAACAAAAACACTGGTAACATCTCTTATCCTATCTAGATTGGAATGGTTTACAAGTATTTCAAAACAATGCCGCCAGACTGATAACAAGATCTAAAAAAACGAGACCATGTCACTCCATTATTAAAAGAACTGCATTGGCTCCCTGTAAAAGAACGAATAATATTTAAAATCTGCGTCATGTGTTTCAAATGTGTAAATAAAACTGCCCCTTTTTATCTACAAGAACTTATCAGTTCTAATATATAAACCAGGGAGAAACCTAAGATCATCAAACGATAACACCCTACTTGTGACACCTGTAAAATCATACAAATCATATGGAGAGCGATCTTTCTCATATCTTGGTCCATTTATGTGGAACAGATTACCCATGAAACTAAGACAAATAAGAACACTTGATAGCTTCAAAAGACATCTTAAACATTTTCTGTTCCTACAGGCCTATCCTTCATAAGCTTTTAACGTTATCTTTCATTATAGTTGTTCTGTTCCTATGTCTGGATGAAAATAGTCTGTGTGTGTGTGTGTGTGTGTGTGTGTGTGTGTGTGTGTGTGTGTGTGTGTGCATTAATGTATATTGCATGAGAAGAAAGGAAGTAGTAAGAAAGGTTTTTGAAAAATGGGTATTCCAATGTAAAGCGCATTGAGCTACTTTTTTGGAAATGCGCTATACAAACGTTATATATTATTATTATATTATTATGAAGTTCCCGTAAGAAAGAAGGAGCAAACCACAACAGAGCACCCGCCAACCACCCACGTGCCGTATTATACTTACCTGGTGAAGTAGGAGGATGCCACCTTGCCGACAGGGCAGTACATCAGCCCGTGTTTTGTGGAAATGATGGGCGAGGTGGAGAATTTGGGCACGCGCTGTTTGCGAGATGACCACTGGTCACCATGTTTGCGCGAGCAGTGGCTGATCACGTGCTGTCGACGGAGGTTGTGGCTGTCGTTGGCCGCAGCCTGGAGTCTGTTGAGTTAAGACGAACACATAAAGACAATAACTGTATGGTTTTCTGGATAGGTTATTGTTGTTGTTGTTGTTGTTGTTGTTGTTGTTATTGTTATTGTTATTGTTATTGTTGTTGTTGTTGCTGTTGTTGTTGCGACTGCTGAAGTAATTTTTTAAATCTTTTTTTTTTTATCTTTTTTTTTTTTTTTTTTTTTTTTGGGGGGGGGGGGGTTGTTGTTATGTTTTTTAAGTGATCTTCGGCATTTTTGTTTGTTTTGTCTCTGTTTTGTTGATTTTTTCACTTAATTTGTTTTTAATGGAGCTGGGGGGAGGGGAGTCAGGACAAGCGATAGAAACATCGTAAATTAAGAACGTTCGTAAATCCTGCAAATGACTTCCACCAAACACATACCTATTGTACTAAAAGAATCACAACAGGTTATAATTTGATGGGTGGGTGGGTGAGTGAGTGAGTGAGGGTGTGAGCTGGGAAGGGCAGGTGGGTGAGTACGTGAGTAAGTGAATAAGTAAGTAAGTAGATAGTATGTATGTTTTGACGGGGTTATCGAAACGCACACATGTGTG